GACCATTTTGTCCTATATCTCATTAGGGGTCAAAATGTCCGGGGCCATTTTGTCCTAGGAAGATATTATTCGGGGCCAAAATGTCCGGGGCCCTTTTGTCCGGGGCCATTTTGTCCGGATACCCTTTTTTTCCCAGGTGGAATTTCCTAAGACCTTCGTTCCATTCTGCTCTACCACCAAGCAAACAATTACGCCCCGTAAGACGACGCGAAGAACGAACCATGCTGGATGACATTGACCTCCCCATTTTCGAGGAGCCTATGGCATTCTTCCGGGCACTTCACGACCTCCTTAATACCCTATTACTGACCTTGTCAGTTTCTTCCGTGGGCAGAGACGTGGGAGGGCGCACTAACGTTCCTGTGGCGCAAACTACTGTACAGGGGTAGTACTGAATTATATTAATTCCTTCCATCGCCAGCAGACGTCGAAGGAGCTACGACGCTCAGCTACGACAAGCTGGATTTTAAAAAAATTCCGAGGGCAAAGTGACAGTAACAATCCAAACGAAGAGAGGCAGTTGCCCCAGGGAAGAAGGAAATGACCCAGCACGTCTCATGCCCTCGTTTCCCTCCCCCCCCCTCTCCCCTCCCCTCCCCTCCCCCACCCGTTGAGAGCCACATTCCTTGGGGCAGTAAACCGGCCTCTCTGGAAAGAAGTTTTGCCCCTTTAGGGGGTATCAGCTCCCGTTAAAAAATCACATGGTACAATTCTGAAAAATAAACCCTGAGTTAATATAATTCTCAGTATGATATATATACCAACATTGGTCAATTTACAGTAATTAGTTCTTGAGACCAAAAATTGAGTTAATTTAATTTATAATTTTCCAATAAATTTAAGAATTAACTACTTCAATAAATAAAAAGCAAAAAGAGTTGAATTGTACACAATTGCAAAAACAGATTAAAAGCCAATGCCTGAAAATTGCTTGATATGAAATCATCTTTTAAAAAAAGTTGAGATAGTTTTAGTCCTTTTTTTTTCGTTGTATTTGGGAAAATATTTTAAAATATTTTTTTTTTTTTATAGAAAAAAGACCCTCAATATCCTGGAAGAGCACACCAACCAATGTGGCTGCCACATTTCAGATACTAAAAAAAAAAAACGAGGGAGATGAATTTCGAAGTATGTCAACTAGAAAACAGGAAAAATTAGGTGTTGGACCTGAAATATGTTTTCCGAGACGGGCAGCATTTTAAACTCCGATTACGAGGATCCTTCTTTTTTTTTTTTACAATTCAAGAATATGTGTGCGTATCTACCATTTTCAAAAAGTACTTATATTCGCCAGTAAAAAGTATTCTATTTGACATTTACTATTATATATTTCGAAATTTCTCTTTATTTTTTTTTAAAGAGAATTTAGAGGTAGCCGACTATTTGATTGGAGATGTGCCCGTCACGATTGTTATTTAAAAAATTATATTTGCTTGAGATGTTTTGCATATATGCTTATATCCCTTGAGCGTAGGCGATATGCCTTGTAATTATGACGTCACCTGTCTCACGTATGTTTCACATGCTCTAGTGTTAGCCCGTCCTGGACGATGGAAGAGGCTAAGGGAGGTGTCGTATTAGCTCACCTGGTGCATCGGCTTCATCCACGCAGGAGTCGGATGTCTGGTCGTAGACGTCGCCTGCTCCACATTGGCCCACGACGAACTCGAAGTTCCATCCGTCCCAGATGCAGGTGTAGAAGCGGTTGCAGTGGACCGGGTGACGGTGGTTTCTCTTGGTGCCGCAGAGCAGGGAAAAGTTTATCATCGGCATCATCGTCGTCGTCAGGGGTTCCAGTGTCGTCTCTGTTGTTTCCGTCGATGCGTCTGTGGATGTCTCCGTTGTCGATTCCGTCGGCGTTTCTGTGGTCGATTCTGCGGACGTTTCTGTGGTCGATTCTGTCGATGCGTCTGTGGATGTCTCCGTCGTCGATTCCGTCGGCGTTTCTGTGGTCGATTCTGCGGACGTTTCTGTGGTCGATTCCGTCGGCGTTTCTGTGGTCGACTCTGCGGACGTTTCTGTGGTCGATTCGGTAGATGTCTCTGTGGTCGATTCTGTGGATGTCTCCGTCGTCGACTCTGCGGACGTCTCGGTGGTCGATTCGGTAGATGTCTCTGTGGTCGATTCGGCGGATATCTCTGTGGTCGATTCGGCGGATGTCTCTGTGGTCGATTCGGCGGATATCTCTGTGGTCGATTCGGCGGATGTCTCTGTGGTCGATTCGGCGGATGTCTCCGTGGTAGATTCGGTAGATGTCTCTGTGGTCGACTCCGCTGATGTCTCCGTGGTCGACTCGGTGGACGTCTCCGTAGTTGATTCTGTGATCTCTGTTGACGTTTCTGTCGTTTGAGTGGTGGGCGCGGTCGTGGATTCGCTCGTCGTCTCGGCTGTGGTCGACTCCCTCGTTTCGGTAGTCGACCCTTCGGTCGTCGATTCCGATTCGCTTATCGTCTCCGCACTCGTGGATTCCGCGGTCGTCGTGCTCTCCGCTGGAGTCGAATCCGTCTGTTCCGCGGAAGTTGCTTCCGTCGCGTTTTCTTCGCAGGGCGGCTGTATGAGTTCGGGGAAATTGCAAGTGTTGTTTCCTTCGTGGAAGTGGAGTCCCTCGGGGCAGTCGAAATGGAAGACGCTGAACGCCGTTCCGTTCCCGAACCAATCCACGCATCGATAGAACAAGTTGCAAGAGCCTGGCAACCTGAAGAAACCCGGTTCCGTGCAGTTGACTTTCGGTCGATCCAGCAGGGGAACCGAAGCCGGTTCCGCTTCTGGTTCGGGTTCCGGATCTGCGTCCGCGTCCTCGTCGGGGCACATCAAGGGTGGCTGGATCGAGGCGATGTGGTTGCAGACGTTGAGGGCGTCGTCGAACGCCGTGCCCGGTCCGCAGTTGAAGTGATGTGCGGTGAATTCTCCCGTTTCTTCGTTACTCACGCAGCGGTAGAATTTTTTACAGGAACCCGGAAGGGGGAAGAAGCCTTCTTCCGTGCACGTCACGTTGTCGGGGGAAGACTTGGTGGGCGATTCCGTCGTTGCGTCGGTCGTTGCGTCGGTCGTCGCGTCGGTCGTCGCGTCGGACCCCGTGGTGGACGTGAGGTCGGTCGTCTCGCCCGATTCCGAGGTGGACGCGACGTCCGTCGAAGTCACGCTCGTCGTCGCGTCCGTGTCTGTGGTTGACGTTTCTGCACCGGTCGATGTCGTTTCTTCCGAGGACTCGGCACTCGAGGTTTCAGTCGTTCCCGTTTCCGTTGAAGCACGAGGCGGAGTCGATTCCGTGCCGGAGGTCGTGGTGTCGTCCTCGGGACACTCGAGCGGCGGTTGAACCAGTTCCGGAGCCGTACAGGTGTTCACTGCTTCGTTGAACACCGTTCCGCCGGGACAGCTGATGGGGAAGACCTTAAAGTCCAGTCCGTCTCCGTAGATGTCCACGCAACGGTAGAAGTCCCTGCATGTCCCCGGGACGCGGAAGAATCCAGCTTCGGTGCATTCGGGTGGCTCTCTGATCGTCGATCTGGTGGTTGTCGTACTGCTTGTTGTCGGTCTACGCGTTGTCGTCGGTCTCCTAGTCGTCGTCGGTCTCCTGGTCGTCGTCGGTCTTCTGGTTGTTGTCGGTCTTCTGGTTGTTGTCGGTCTTCTGGTTGTTGTCGGACGCCTGGTTGTTGTTGGCCTCCTGGTTGTTGTCGGACGCCTGGTTGTTGTCGGCCTCCTGGTTGTTGTCGGACGCCTAGTTGTTGTCGGACGCCTAGTTGTTGTCGGACGCCTAGTTGTTGTCGGTCTCGTGGTTGTGGTTCTTCGTGTTGATCTCATTGTTGTGGTCCTCCTGGTAGTTGTGGATGGTCTCGGTGAAACCTCCTCACTGGATTCCTCCTCGCTCTCTTCGCTCTCCTCGCTCGAGGATGACTCATCGCTCGTCTCTTCAGTCGCCGAATCGGATTCGGTCGATTCTTCGCTCTCGCTCGATTCGGCAGTCGTCCCAGTCGAAGTTTGAGTAGCAGTTCGGCGAGTCGTCGTCGTCGGTGTGGTGGACCCGATCTGTGCCTCGGTCATGTTCATGATAGATCCGTCCGGATTGCACATGAGAGGGGGTTGAATGGACCAGGGATAATTGCAAATGTCCAGGATATCGTCGAACACCGTTCCCGGGGGACAGCAAAAGTAATAGACGGAAAAGGTGCCGTTGCCAAACCAATCCACGCAGCGGTAAGACATGACGCAAGAACCGGGGAGTCGGAATAAGCCGGGCTCCGTGCAGAACACCTTGACCGGTGGGGGTGTGAACATGGGTTCCGGTGCTGGTAATGTCGACCCATCGTCTCCGTCCGGTTCTGGTTGCGGTGATGTCAATTGCTCTAACTCGTGATCGGGGCAGTCCATGGGATTCGGCAGGGTCTCAAAAGCGATGCAGGTTTGGATGTCCTCCTGGAACACCGTTCCGGGTGCGCAGGTGAAGAAGAAAGAACTGAATACCGTCCCGTTCCCATACCAATCCACGCATTGGTAGAAGTTGATGCAGGATCCTGGAACCTGGAAAAGCCCTGCTGCCGTACAGTCCACTTTAATGGAAGAACTGAACGGAATTGATCCATCTGGAAGATTAGGTCGAGGAGTTGTTGGCATCTCGTCCGACTCTTCCGAGGAAGAAGCCGCGGCTGTCGTCCCCGGTCGTCTCGTCGAAGTGCTCGGTCGTCTCGTTGAAGTGCTTGGTCGTCTCGTCGAAGTGCTCGGCCGCACCGTCGAAGTGCTCGGTCGTCTCGTCGAAGTGCTCGGCCGCACCGTCGAAGTGCTCGGTCGTCTCGTCGAAGTGCTCGGCCGCACCGTCGAAGTGCTCGGCCGTCTCGTCGAAGTGCTCGGCTGCACGACGGTTCCATCTCCAACTCCTGGTTCAGGTTGTCCTTCGGGTTCGGGCTCGGCAACTCCCAGGTCCTGTTCCTCCGGTGGGCATTGTTCCGCCACATTCCCCGGATGCACGCACACGTCCAGCTCGTCGTTGAACACCGTACCAGGTCCGCAGATGAAGAAGAAAACGCTGAATGACGACCCATCTCCAACCCAATCCACACATCGGTAGAATCTCTGACAGGACTGAGGAACTGGGAAAAACCCAGCCTCGGTACAGTTTACTTTTGGATTCCTCGGGGAGCTTACTGCTGCGGTGGTGTCTTGTCGAATCTTCATTTGATCAGTAACTTCCGAAGCAATCCCTTTTTGACCAGGATAAGGTTGAGTCTGTCCAGATCCTTGAGGAGGGGGGGTGGGTTTTCCCGATTCTTGCGGAGGACGACGAGACTGTCCAGATTCTTTTCTTGGAGGACTGGGTTTTGCAGATTCTTGCTGAGGAGGACTCGGTTTTCCAGATCCTTTCTGAGGACTGGGTTTCACAGATCCTTTCTGGGGACTGGGTTTTGCAGATTCTTCCTGAGGCGGACTCGGTTTTCCAGATCCTTGTTGTGGACGATGAGATTGCTCAGATCCTTGCTTACTGGGACTGGGTTGTTCAGGTCCTGGCTGACGAGGACTAGGTAGTCCGGGTGCTTTCTGGTCTGTAGTACGTCGTTCAGGCCCTTGCTGACCGGTGTTGGGCTGTTGCTCAACTGAATCTTGAGACCCAGCCCCAGTTGGTTCCGGTTCCCCAACCGCAGCTTCCAATTCCCCCTCGGCGCATTGTAGATTGGGCACATTCTGTGGGTGATTGCACACATTGTAGCGGTCGTCGAATACGGTCCCAGGTCCACAATCGAAATGAAAGACAGTGAAGTGGACTCCAGAGCCTAAGAAGTCCACGCAACGATAAAACTTGGTACACGTCCCAGGTTGAAGGAAGAAGCCTGCTTCCGTACAGCGGACCTCTGGTGCCTGCCTCGTCACGTGTCGCCTGGATTCAGACGAAGTCTCAGAAGAAGTATCTTCGTCGCAGTCCAACCAACGGTTCAGAGAGGCTCGAGGTACGCAGCGTCCGGCATGATCGTCGAAGAGGTTTTCCTCAGGACAAATGTGTTGGGTTAATTCGAAATCTTCTCTTTTATCAGGAATCGAGTTATGGCTTGCTCTCTCTACTCTGGAGCGAATTTGGTTACTTTGTTGCGGTTGAACTCCGACGAAGCTCGAAAAGAATCGGTTCCACCAGGGCACATGAACGTCCCTCTTCTGCCTTTCCTGATGCCCCACGCCGAAAGTGAAAGGATCTCCATCGTCCATCCTCGACTTTTGTTCCCACGGTCGCGGCATACCGGCTGCAAACTTCTTCTTGGTGCATTTGTAGTATCGGGAACAGGAGCGACCGAGACGGAAGAGTCCCTCAGAGTAACACCGCGACGTCGCGTCTCGTTTCCTCCTGACTTCCCCCTCTTTGTAAAGACAAGCTCTCTGGCCCGGATCGAACACGACCTGAGGGGAACAAGATCGAAGGGCTCCTTCCTCTCCCTTGCCCTTGCATTCGTAATAGAGATCCCAACTCGTCGGGTGAGGGAAGAGACCCGGGGCGCTGCATGAGTACTTGTGCTCTGCGAGATAAGGGAACGATGGCGGACTAGTTACACGTCAAAATCTGAGTCTCTAATTTACCAAAACTCTTAGCAAAATAAGATTAAACAGGTAGCGGAATCATTAATCGAGCGATTTAAATAATGGAATCATCATCATAAGTAGGTGCTATAATCCGTTCCGGTGCAGCAAAATGCTCAAATGCCTTTCCCTTCCTCTTAAAGGAGGAGATTTATTATTTAAATTGGCAAATAAAATCACTTCTCATTCAATTATTGTTTTCATTTACCAAAATGATAATCATTTCTCAGGATGAACTTCATTTCTTCGAATCCATATAGATTGGAGCCAGTGCTTCATCATTCGCGATCCATCTTCCACTAGCTAGAGGCATCTCATGAAATTACATGAGGCTTTGGCAAGGACAGAACGGAGGCGGAGAGCATTCACTCACGTAAATGTGTAAAGAAGAACAAATTAACTGCTGACATTGTAGGAACTGCGTAAAACGTAAAAGAAGGAATGAGCTGGCCAAGCATTTCTACCATGTGCCTTGTGGGAGTTGCAGAAACGCACTTCCACGGCCTCATATAATATAGTCTTCGTTAAAAAAAAAAAGGAAACTCATGCATGAACTGTGCTGTTTTGTTCAAATTTTCGGTTGTTAGGTCGGACTGGTAGGCAGCACTACCCATGAAGTTAACAGAACAAAAAGTCTTTTATGACGAAGGCGGCATGGGCCGACGAGCCTAATGCGTCGAAGAACGATCAAGGTTACCGATGATCTCATTACTTGTCTCATCCGCCTTTTTTAGGGCGGAAAAAAGGGTCACGAGTGTCGTCTCTTCTCATCCAGGACTAAAACGCGTTTTAAAATTCCTTCGGGTGGATCGATGAGAAGTGATTGAGACGTCTGTAGTCGCATTCGCCCTTGAACTCTTCCCTTGAGTCTCGTGTCGACCGTGTGAAACAACTATGTGCTATCCTGACGAGAATTCATTATATTCAGGGAGTGGCATTAGTGTCGAATGAGCGAATAACAAATGAGCTGTCTGAACGTTGCCTTTCTCGTGCGTGTCCGTGTCGATAGTTTTTATGATGATTTTTCCCGCTCGGGAGAGGCGAAAAGCGGGACGCGGTCGAACGCGTTCGGAGGGTCCTTAAGGGCATGGATTCTTCGAGTTCTGAGGGCCCTTAAGGTCCCTTGACGGCAGACGATCCCGGAAGGTCAGCTATCACAGCGAAGGACGAGGACAAAAGCATTCTTGGCATCATTTCGTTCACCCGCTTCCTCATGCTCCACCACTCCACAAACTCGTTAGGAATTGAAGAAAGTGAGTTAATTTGAGGTCGGGGGGGGGAGACGGGGGGGGGAGAGGGGGGGGGGGGGGGGGGGGGGGGGGGGGGGGGGGGAGAGAGCTGACCTCACCGCCTTGCATTCAAATTCATGAAGAGGGTCTTCCCAGGCCCCAAGAAAAAAAAAAAAACAAGTGGCCGTTTTCAAGGTCGTCCCATTGTCCTAATGACGGGTCGTGGTAACATCATTCTTGTCGTCGATCATCTTCCATATGTGATGGGAGGGGAAATTCCGTTTCTCGCTCTCGTATATTATGATGATGAAGGTGACCGTGAGCGTTTCCCCACACGGAAGAAATGAAGGCAGGCCAACTCCTAGTTCGCGTGTGGATGATATCATCGGGAAGAGGGGATGCCGGATGGGTTCGTCGCGGTTTTAGTCGCGGCTTTCGTCGCGCATTGTCGCGGGGTGCCCCGGATGGGTTTTATTGCCCGGACGCAAAAAAAAAACTCGGGAATTCGACAGGCATAAATATCCTTTCAAGATCGTCTGCGTCACGACTCGGGAAATATGGGCATCTAGGTGCGTCTTCTTAACGATGAAGAACTTAGAAATGCACGAGGACGCGGTCTCAAAGAAGTGTGAATCATGTTCGGGCTCTCGGGTCGGGAATCCGGAACTCGTCTCTTTCTCGGAACCGAGGGTTCAATAAACTTCCGCGTATCTTAAGGCATTATAATTAATCAGACCCTCCTTGATTTTATCTTTAACGGCCACACATCCTGTACATCCCGTACTTAGCAGCTTTTTCCCCTGGAATAAAGGTGAAACACGTGCCCTCTCATCTCGAAGGCCGGGATAATTAACCCTTAACGACGTTGTGTTTCCTCACATCTCATTACGCCATTGGGACCCTGTGAAATTGTGGACTGCTCCCGACTCACGACGACGGGTTCATTAGCGATGACTTAACGAAGACAGGCGAGAAGACACGAGTTCGTGCACCGCGCTCCCATCAAGGTCGAAATCCCACTCCGAAAAATTTATGCCATTTATTATCCTTCCGTCATGCATCGGTTCGCCCGAGACCACGTGCCCGGAATGATCTCAGCGAAATGACGGAACGCATGAGATCAGCTGGACGAAACCCCAGAGAAGACGCAGATGGACCCCGTCGTCGTCGGGAGATCCGGTCCCGTCGGGTCAGACGTGCAAGGCCACCCGAGGAAAAGTTATGCACACCGCAAACACATCCCATCCACATCCCATGCACATCTCATTACACGCACGCTCTCACCCCATGCGAACGTCCTTCCGTCTGCCAGCCAAATAATTTCAATCTGCGTTCCGAAGGAAGGTCGTCTGTTTATTTACGACCCCTAATTGAGAATCCATTGGATTCGCTTCACCCCGGGATCGTTTATTCTCCGCACCCCCGCGAGAATTTGACCGGCTTCTGGATTTTTTCACTGGAAGTCTCGGGGACCCCCCGAACTCGTTCCGCGAAGTGCTTATTAATTCTTAGGACGTAATTCCAAATGCCAAAAGGCGAGACGCATGTTGCATGACGTCAGGCTTGAATTTTTTTTAGGGTTCTCGTCTTGCAAGTAAATGAGATTAAGTTTCCCTTCGGGACAAAGATCCTCATTCAAGGCTATCCACTATTTAAAATATTAAAAAAAACGACTGCACACAAAGAAGATGATACCTGCTAGTGATGTCAGAACGATACGTGTACAATAGTCCAGATTTTCGGCGTGATGTCATACGGGGAGTGTTCCTCCGAAGGCCATAACCTTCAAGGACGGATTTTCTGCTCATCCGCAATAACCCTTTCCCGCTCCGAGCCCGTGTCACTCGGAGCCCGAGCCCGATGCTCAAGGGCTTTTCGCTGGTCGATGCACTTCGCCCTTCGGTAGCTCGTGTCCGGGATGATCCGGAGATAATCCGCACTCGGCCGAATCGGCCAGATAACGTCCGATCTCGACCTTCCTTGAACCTAATTCGCATATCTCGTGTTAAGCTTCGTGCTTCGCGACCTTTCCACTCGAGAAAAATGCTTCTTGAGAGAAATTCTCGACCCTCTGTGCCTTTATCGAAGCCTTCGATCCACTATTAATAGATCACCTTGAGCTTTTTTCGAGTTGCCCGACTGCTGTTATCGCACCAAGTGTTTTCTGCGCGGCTCCGTGATGCAGCGGAATCGCAATTCGCATCCGACGAGACGCCCCGGCCAAGGGCAGCCGATAAGGGATCTCAACCATCCCCCCCTTTTCCCCCCTCCCCCCTTTCCTCCTGGGGAGGGGGAGGGGGGAAAGGGGGGGGCCCTTTCCCCCCTCCCCCAGTTTCCCAGCAGGAGGAAAAAATGAGGAATGCGTGCGTACAAGCGAATGGAAAGGTGCGAAGGTGGATGAAGAGGTCAACGACGACACGCGTCCTTGACTCTCCGGGCTCGTTCCTGGAAAACGAAGGATGATTGCCAGGACATCGCCCGAACATAACTGGACCCGAACCGAACCCGAATCATCGACAGGAATTTTTTTTTTTCCTTTCAAGCGCAGAGACCGGGACATCCGGAAGACATCCGGTCGCACTCGGAACCGGCAGGCGCCGGAGAATAGACGGTGGCGCCGCAGCCCAAACATCGGCTGTCGGCCCATATCATGGCCGTGTAATAGCCGATTCCCCCTTCCTCCGAACGTCGGAATCCGGCGACGGTCTCGTTAGGGAAATGTTTCGCCTCTTCGTACCGTTTCCAAAGAGCTAGCTGCCATGGACTTTCCACCCGAGGGGACCCGAAGGCCCAGAAGACGTTCTGGGTCGAATGGCTCCACTCGGGTCGGGTCAGAGGTCGATCTTCTTCGTCGTGGGGCCGCTCGAAATCGCAGCACCGATCCGACCGACGTCGGGCGATTCGGGTCTGTTCCGAGTCCCAGACCGATTCTTTATGTTTCCTGTCGAGATTTGGTGCTTTTTCCGCACCCGATGCGACTCGTCGCCTCGATCCGTTGTGAATTTCGAGGATCTGACGCTTCTCCGCCTCCTCGAAACCCGATCGCACGACGACGCTCTCGGGATCGACGCTCTCGTATTTGCAAATTTGCTCATGATGTGCCGAGACCCGAACAATCGGCAGTATTCCTCGTTCGGATTCCGTTTCGGAAGTCCCAATCGAGGACTTCCGCGGAGGAAGCCCTCGATTCCGTTTCGTTCTCGGAGATATTTTTCAGATCTCCCGAGGAAGAGAATCAAAATCGACCGAGAAATCATTTTGCGGAAATTCCGGGGCCGAAAAGGAAATTAGGCTTCCGGGTGTCACCCCGAAAGGATTCGCGTTCGATCTCCGCGAAAAAAAAAAGATGTCGCGTGCCTCATTTGGCGTGTTTGCAAACGATGATGACCGGAGAATGCCGAGTCATTTTGTCGTTTCAATGTCATTCATGCTGACAGAGACATTATCAGCGTACAGAAGAAACGCTGAATCACGGGGGTCCCTCAACTTCGACGGGGGGGCAGAAGGTCGACACGAGATTCCTCAGCCCTCTCCCACCTCGACGAAACTCCCGTTTCCTTAACGTCGACGAATCGCGAGAGAGAGTGAGAGTGAGAGTGAGAGTGAGAGTGAGAGTGAGAGTGAGACTCACCTTGACCGAGGGACGGAAGGCAGCCGAGCACGATGGGCATCACCCTCACGATCCAGTCCATCTTCTGTAAAAGAGAATTGCAAGGATATTACGGTCGGCATCATCTCTCCGACGGCAAAAGGGTTACTCGAGGACAGAAAATATTTGATGGATGGAGCGGCGAAAGACAAGCTGTCAGGAACAACTATGTATATCTGGTTTCCCGTGGATCAAAGGGTTGCAATGGTTTTATGACATTCTTCGGTCTTGTCTAAGGAGAAACAACATTTTTGTCAGCCTCTTCAGATCGTCTTTTGGATCATGTGAGGTCCGTTTTTTTTTT